AACTGTGTGTGTGTACCATCCAAGATGGCTGCCATAGATTTAGCCAATCAAATTTCGCTAAGCACCATCGTTTGCAATTGCGCCCCCAATTTACTCAGAAAGTTCAGTACAGCTAGTTACCCGTATGTTTATAACTCGAGCGTTGCCGTGTTTAGGTGTAATGTACACGATTTTAATTTTCATTCCTTGGTACTTTATTTTTGAATAAGATGCTCCACTTGGCCTCGTTTTGGCTACAATAGTTTAATAATTTGTTATTACCATTACTCATTATCATTAATGAAATAATAGTCAGTCAGAGGGCTTATTAATATGTATACTAAGCCTGAAGGTGGCGCTTTACTACGACGACCATCTTGGATGGTACACATACATAACTCTGCATTACTGCGCCATCTTGTCAGCACTCTAGTTGTTTAATTATGCTTTCGATTTACAATGCGCTCTCTCTTTTTAGAACAATAACGTACTTCGTAACGAACTTTGGCGTAGCTCGAACACCCTATCTCAGATGGCAACGACTAGAACGCCCTCTCCTAAAAGTGATTACTTTTCTGTGCCAAATCGACGCTTCTATTTGTTAAGTTCCCATTAAACTTATCAAGCGAAAGCGTCGAGCGTCACGCGGCAAGCGAAGAGAATCGCGCAAAGTTCACAAAAGTTGACTTTCTGTAAAGAATGTCTCGCTTCCAATGATTCGCTTGCCTGTTCCCACTGCTGGCCGCGCGCAAAAACTCGAAATGGCGGGTGGCAACGGAGAAGTGATTTTGTTATCGCATTGATAGACGGAGGAAAAGGGCTGTGAGACGAATCGAATAAAATCCTCAGGATTAACATTCCCAGAACTCTATAATGAATCAAAAGAGTGAATATAAACACAGCTTTTTTAGTTCATATTTATTCAAGGCATAGAGTTAGGCCTCCTAAGGGTAGATAGTAGGCCTAGCCTACCCTACCATACGGTAGGTCTGGTGTAGCAGGGTATCAGAGGCCTAGGCTGGACAGGCCTAATACTGGTAGAAAGAGGAGATAACTCAACTCGTCTCTGCAAATCCTTTTCCACGCATTGTCACATATTGTCTTCGCTCCCTTGTCACAGACCTAAACAAGGGTAGCCTACTGAAACGGACTCGTCGGTCATCGTTTGCACATCTGTACATTGTTTTGACAATGTTCGTGACTTTATTGTTGACCTTTGACATAAATTGAATCTAAGCCTTGCGATTGGTCCATCGGCCGCGAATTCGCTCGCGAATCCGAAAAGTTGTTCGTGGATCAACTCTTGTGAATTCGTAGGCAAAGCCTCCGCGACCACCGCGCGCACCGCGTCGAAGTTCGAATATTGGGCGTTCGCGTGTTCGACTACAATTTAAAGCCCCATTCCCGGCAAAATTTCACTAAAAACTGACTGAAAATATGCATTTGCATTACTCCAATTATTATAAATCATGGAAAAATATTGGCATGAATTTTAGTTTTACGCAAAAGAATAAAAAAATGAGAAATACAGACTATTTCTCATAAAATATTACCATTTTCTCGACGAATTTATCGTTACTAGGCAAATTCAGAGGTTGTAGATCGCATCCACTGGAATACTCTTGCTTTTATGTATACAGTCAATAAAGTGCGCCCTCTCTAGTGAGATTAGATTTTGTACAAAGATCTTATAAACACAAGATAGCGTTCTTCGCGGTTTACGCGTGCAAATTCTGTAATAAGGCATGAATGGCGCCCACTTGCTAAATTGGAAACTTTTGAACCTTGACCGCTCTGACCATACCGTCACCGACTTTTTACCTTGGGTATCAATCCTGTGAACAGCAGAACAGGAACCATCTCAGATCCATGGCAACAGATAGGACGCCCTCTTCCAAAACTGATTACTTTTTCTCTTTGGTATAATAGCGCATGAATGGCGCCCTCTTGCTAAATTGGAAACTTTTGAACCTTGACCGACGCTTCTATTTGTTACGCGTAAATCGCGGAGAACGCTATCTTGTGTTTTTAAGATCTTTGATTTTGTACTTCGCATCTCGCACAATGCGTTCGTTCGGTTAGGTTGAGATATGTTTGTTTAAGTGTCAAAATCTCAGTCAGAATCAGTTTTTTAACAAATTTGAAATAATTCCTATGAAATATTATATTACACAAGTGTCATTACTAGCAACGGAAAATATCATTTCGGCCGTTTTTATGTGTGATAACAGAACCTAAATAGAGGTAAGGCTAGGCCTAGCCTAGCAGCGTTGGATAGGCTAATGTTTTCGGCGCCTACGATATTTATTCTCACGACCTGTCACAAAATCAAATATGAAAATTCATCCGCATTTATTTTTTGTGTGGACCACAAAAAAAAAAATCAAATTTCAGTCTTATTTTACATTTTTTTTCATTCTTAGGAATGTCTAAATTCAGTTAAACTAGCAATTCCGTATTATATTTATAAATCTTTTTTTAAATTAAAATTTTGTCGGAATGGGGCTTTAATTCGTATGCATGTTCACATTGGAAACGCCAGTCGCGTCTTCGATTCAGCCGCGCGCGCCACATTTCGACGCGAAATTCGCTTGATCGCGTTCAGTGGGAACCGGCCTTTACGCGTAAATCTCGGAGAACGGCATCTTGTGTTTATAAGATCTTTGCTTAACATTATTTTGCCCCCATACACTTAAGGCAGACATTACAGAGAGCGCTATTTTAGGTCAGTTAGGTGAACTGAAATGCATGAATACCGTACTCGCGCGAATAAGCGCCCGGGCACTTAAAATATTTGTTTGCACTTTTTGAGGGGCGCTTATTCAAACGGGGCGCTTATTCGAACGGGGTGCTTATGAAAACAGAGTGGAAATTGAGGGGGCGCTTATGAAAATAGATGAAAACCGAGGTTGTTATGAGAACTTATTAAATTCAAGAGGCACATTTTGAATGAAAATCGATTATATAAGGACATCAGGAAACCGCAAATTACGAATGGTGCTGCGGCGGAAAAGATAATCGTCCAGAGAGCATGGCTTGTCATGAAAACAATGTTGTGAGTACAGTATTACATAACAGCAGAATAGTAGATGAAATTAGTGGTGGTGGTTAGCTTGTTGGCCATCGGTCAATTGAGAATAGGAGGATGGCATGACCATTGCAGGTTTTCTTGAAAACTTAGATGAGAATGTGTTAAAGGTGCAAATTGTTGGAAAAGGAGTAGGACTGGGCTATAGACTAATTAGACTGGGCTCCAGTCCCTAATCTTTGTTTTTAAATCGATTTTGGCACCAATGGCGTTCCATATTACCTATTTGCTTGGCGTTTCATAGTATACTTTTTCTTGGATTAATTAATTTTTCTAATTCGCATAAAAGTTTCTCGATATATACCGTCGCTGGTGGCGCTCTCCAAAATTAGCTATTACTAGGAAAACCTATAATTAGAGACTTGTGGCAAGTCTATAGATTAATGTAAGAAGATGAAAGTTGGAAATATACTGTCTGTCCAGGGAGCTCTCATCTGTCCAAGAATAATATCCCCATTTTGATATTGACTAAAGGAGAATGTGATTCCTCTCCACACCTCAAATCATGACAACATCCACAGTCCCAGGATTGATTGGATTATTCGAGAAGGGCGCTTATTCAAACGGGGTGCTTATTCGTGCGAGTACGGTATGCATACCAGGGGCGGATTTCTATAAAACGGTTTTATCTGGTAGTCTTAACTTCTCGAATAAAGCTGGCTTTATCACTTAGACGGTCTTACTAAAGTCATTACTCCAGTGGAGTATCCAAGGGGGGGGGGGCCCAAAAAAGCTCGCGCCCCCAGGCGCACCCCCCCCCCCATTCGAAAACTTCGAAGCACTAAAATTAGGCTAGGCTTATGCTTATGCTTTCACTGTTAACGCGGATTATTATAAACAATTTTACCAAATCCGACGATATTATATACACATGATATGACATACTGTTCAAGCGTCTACCCAATTAAATATTGAATAGCTTTATATTTAATCAAAATCAGATGGAATGGAAGTAAACATAGCTTTCACTGATTTACAGACGGTTGTACAAAAATTCTTCAATGTTACCAGCCAATGAATCATGCATAAGAATACAGCAACGCTCACTGTCTGTAAATTGGCAGGGGTTTTTTTAATAAAAAATAAATAAAAAAGAAAAAAAAAACTTTTTAATTTGTAAAATTGTAAGTTAACAACTGTGTCCGAAGTAATTTGTCTCCGAGCATTTCTAAATGTGTATATCATTCAGAATCAGTACTAATAGGCCTATAGCATACAATTGCACACACGTCGTTATTAGGCATATAACTGTACGCCTACTCAAGAGTCAATACGGTGAAAGATTCAATAGTGTTTTTTTATACTTTCAAAGACCATGCTGTACATAAACTGTGTCTACACTGTCTTGCCTACCAAGGCCTAGTATTTAAGATATTTTGGCCCACGCATAAGCACTGCGGTTACAGTAACTCGATACACCACTGACTCTGTTTCGCGAGGGGAAGTCTGTATGCATATTCAGGTATATCAGTTCACCTAACTGACCTAAAATATCACCCTCTATAATTTCTGCCTAAACTGTATGGGAAAAAAAGATAATGCACCCCGGAACGTCATGAAAATGTCATACTTTTTTCTTTAGACTTGATGAACCATCCCAGAATGGTTTCAGATACATATATTTATCATTTTCTTAGATATCTATGTCCGGGAAGTTCCCTATAAATGGTCCTCATATACACTGGCACACCATGCTCCAGATCGCCACCACAATTTAATATTTTCTTAATTGGAACCATTAATTAGAAAGTTTCATTCAGATCCGTTGATCCTTTTTTTTTTCTTGTGATAATTTGGTTTGGAACGTTAACACTTTAAATGACACCAAATCTGGATCACCAAAATTTAATTATTACTTCCTTTTAACTAGGTTAACTCTTCCATAGCGGTATATCAGAAAAATTGACAATTTTTTGAGATACATGGTTTAGGGCGTTTCCGTTTGAATGATCTTCATATCCACACACCCTACTTCGGATCGTTACTAAAATTTATTCATTTCTTTGCTTGGAACATGACTAATTGTTCTAGAAAATTTCATTTGAGATCCACTGATAAGTTTTTTCTTTAATATTTAGGTCCGAGACGTTAGCACTTTAAATGACCTGAAACTCACACCGAATCTGGATCGTCAAAAAAATTAATGAAGTTCTTCCTTGTAACTTTGTTAAACTTTCCAGTAAGCTTCATTCAGATTAGATGATCACTTTTCGAAATAGCTGTGGGATGTTTCCCTTTAAATCTCGTTAAATGGTCCTCACATCCACACCCCGCTCCTAATTGTCACTAACTTTTAAGAGGAACAACTTTGGTATATGGTTTATATTTGGACAAAGTTTGGAAAAGATCCAATAATGAAAAGTGACCAAAGTGCCGGTCAGAAAACCCCTGTACGGGGACGGGAAAATATCTTTTTCGGCTACTGCCAGAAAAAACATAAAACCATAGTTTGGAACAGGGGTGGCGCCAGCGGGAGGGGGAAACGGGGGGCCAGGCTCCCCCCTCCCGTCGGGGAGAAAAAGCACAATTCGTCGGGGAGAAAAAGAAATTGTATGAGTATTTTCTACATATTAGTAGACTCTTAAAATAAGCCTTTGAAACCCCTAAATTGTCAAACTTTTCGGGGCTTCGCCCCCCCCCCCGGACCACTTTCTAAAACTTTTAATCGAAGCTCGACCACGCCCACTTTGCTTTCGTCGGGGAAATCGCCCTCGTCGGGGCATCGGCCCCGCTTCGGGGACCTCGGCCCCCGTCGGGCAAATCCTGCGCCACCCCTGGTTTGGAACTAAATCTACAAAGTGCGCAGAGGTTATTAGAGAGTGCGACACTTACTTACTACTACTTATAATTACAAAGTGAAACAGGCATTACAAAGTGCAACAACTCAGTTTATTACAAAGTGTGATAGGGGTGATGTTATATATGTATTATGGTGGAGAACAAATTGTACTGAAAATATGAAGATATAATATCAGAACAGTTTATTTTTTAAAAGAATCTAATAACATTATATGAAATTATGATGAATGAAGGTGGTGGGTTCACTACAAAAGAGAGAAGAAAATTGCGAGGGGGGTATTACAAAGTGTGTCACTACGATATTACAAATTGTGACAGTTTTATTACGTGCAATAGGTAATACAAAGTGTGAGTTTATTACAAAATGTGATTCTGTAGTAGTACAAATGGGCTGAATTCATATAATGGGGTAGTTTACTACAGCAGGACCATACCTACCTAATTCACAGTTATCGCCAACGTAACCTGTCCCATCGCATAAACACACATACTCCGTCCGAGAAAGGCTTCTACAAAAGGTCCCGTGCTTACATGGTAACGGGTAGCATGGATCGGCTGCAAAATAACAATTTCAATTTGTAAATTAACATTAGTTAATCATTGACATCACCAACAACGTCATCTACATTTTTCACATATCTTCTTAATCGTTAAATCATCACCTCCACCAATCATCATCATCCTAATTATAACAATCATCATCATCATCCCCATCGATCATTTCATAATCATAATCATCATCATCATCATCATCGTCGTCGTAATCATCGTCACCATCATCGACGTCATCGTCACCATCATCATCACAATCCTTATCACCATAATCATCATCTTTATCGATCTTTCAAAATCATAATCATAATCAAATCACCATCATTATCATCATCACCACCATCATCATCAATGACCATCATCGTCGTCATCATTCATCCTCACTAAAATCAATCTTCCTGCTTAAGCCATTCTTACGATCATCACAATTGTCTCCTAAGTGTGCTGTGCCGTTACAATAGCATCGAAAGCCTGTGTCGGATATCCTTTCACATTCACCATTATTTCTGCAAGGATTCGGAGAGCACCAGTCGTCTGCAGAAGAAAACAAACGGAGTAAAATATTTGTTATGTATATGCCACAGTATACCCTGTAATGATTTTAGAAAATCAACAATGAAAATATAATGTTTTACCAGGTGCCATGGTTTTTTTAGCACCATATAATTTATTAAATGAATTGAAAATTGTCGAAAGCATGAAATTCAAATCAAATGCTATCTTTCCTTTCTTAATCGTACCATTTTCTTTGGAATAGGCAGCAGGGTAACAGTATGTACAGGCGACATTTGCAAACTATACCAGGGAGCAGAGAAGGTTGTATTTTGTGTATTATGGCTGATACTGTATCCAATGACCAGGGGAAAAGCGCATTGAGCAATGTTTCTGGAGTGGAGTTGTAGCTTGCCTTTCAATCCAGAGTCCTGGGTTCATTTCCCGTCAGTGCTGCAGGATTTTTTTTCCTCACGACCAAAACAACTCCACTCCCTGAACTCCTATTGAGGTTTCGTTTGTGTTAAGCATCATGTGTGTATGTTTGTCTTGTCAAATTCCGAGGGATTGTCATCAATGGGACAGCGATATATGCAATATTGACAATTCTTGGTGCATGTGTTGTGTGCCTTAATAAAATAAATAACAGAAATAAAGATGTGTGCGCTATATAAATCCTATCAGATAAATGAATAATAACATGAAAAGTCAACAGATCTACTAGTTACAGCTACCTATTGGTCTATATGAAATTATCTTAAAAACAATTGTAACTGGATGGATGGATGGATTTATTCGTTGTGAACACCAAGAACCCACGAAAGAATTCCTATTTATATAAAGATATGTAAGCCATATAAATCCTATGAAATATAAAATAATATCATGATCTAGTTACAGATACCTATTGACCTTTTTAAGATAACAAAAAAACCCCAAAAAACAATAGTAATTTGACCAGTGACAACATGACAATAATCGTATTTATACAATTACCCTCATTCAATATTTCATTAAACAAAATTAAATTTAACCTCTCTATTTCTTTCATCAGCAAAAGTAAAATTAAAATGATAAAAAAAAACCCAACTTACTCTCGCCGCATAATTCTCCTCGCGCTCCTGTTCCTCCACAGTCACATACAAATCCAGGAGGCTGAGCAGTAATTGAGCACTCTCCATTATTCAAACATGGACTTGGTGAGCACAGATCGTCTGATTCAGAATCGCACCAGGGATAATATTTCAAAAGAAAATTAATTTTTAAGGTGATAGACAAATAAGTTGGAAATATGTCTCTTATACACATCTAGATGTGTATAAGAGACAGGGCCTATAGCATACAATTGAAAAAGTAACTTCCTATTTGATCACTGTTGTTAATATTTATCTTTTTGTTCTGAAATGAAAAAGGCAAACCTTGATTACAGAGTAGACCTACGTATCCAGTACCACCGCATTCACACTTGAAATCAGTGCCATTAAGGACACAATTACCATTGTTTAAACAAGGACTAGGAGAACAAGGATCGTCTGCAAATAAGTAAAATCACGCCAACAACATAATAATTGTAAATGATTATAATCATTTTTAACAAATACGGTAATAAATACAATGATTGATGATGATGATGATGATGATGATATTTCGCTGTGAGTTTGCGTCAGGAAAATATCACAGGAGTCATGCTTTGCCCTGACGTGTTATCGTACCGAATAGGCCCATGTCAGGCGATCCTGGTACCATAGAATGCGGTGAAATTACATTTATTATAAAATACAAGATACGGTATGCAACCGCGGCGAAGACCAGGATGAGGCAATATCAATGAACTTTCCTGACGCGTCCCTTTCTTTTTCCCCCTTCTCTTTTTTTCCCCATTTCTTTATGAATCACTTTGCATTTGCTATTTCACACGTTTGCTAATATGCTCATTAGATATTCTTTGATGCTAGTTTTTATATACAGTACTGTACATGAGGCCTATTTACCTTCACCGCAGAATTTGCCAGTATAGCCAGTGCCAGGGCAAAAACACGATGCTTCGTCATCAACTATTGAACATACCCCGTTATTCTCACACGGCGACGGCGCACATGGATCATCTGTCACAAAAATGAAATTATAAGTTAAAATACTTTTGAATAAAGTGGTGGTCAAACCACGAAATAGAAAAAAATAATAATTTAAAATACAAGCCATGAAGAAACCAGTAAAACAGTCAGTAAAATATGTTAACAGTTGCGGTAAAAATTAAATTTAAAGGTTTTAAAATGGTATTGTAAATTTTGGTATTGATATTGGTATAGGTATAGATTAGAAATTGAAAAGGTTTGTAAATATTAAGAACAAAGGGTTAAAAGAGAACTAACAAAATGATTTTTTTTGTTCTAGAGGAGATTTTTGATATTCCATTAATAATACAATCAACCTTAAAATCGTTATAGGCCATTATATACGATTTTCCGTGACGTAACTGGCGAAAAAAGTAACAAAAGATAGCGCCGCGTAGGGTATCCGCCGCGTACGATCTTTGCGTGCATGCTTTAACCATGGTTATAACTTGTTTGTTCACAACCGCTGATTTATATCAAGTCATAGGCCTATGAATAATCTGGATATCAATAGCATCTAAGAAGCTTGCAATGGCCGGACACATCCGTGGACCAGCGCTTTTAAAATAAGCTACTTTAGAATAAGCTTCTTTCATGTACAAATGCTTTTACAATACTAATTAATAATTATACTAATAATTCCGATTCTTGGCAACACGCAGGACATTTTATTAACAAATTGTCGGCGCACTAAGAGATATCAAACAGAAAAGCGACTACCGCTGCGTGCTGTGTTTACCCAATTTTTAGCAACATTGACAATGCGGAACATGTCATGTATACTGTTATCAAAGGTCATACACTACTAAATGTCGATAATGATGAAACAAGTTTTTGTTTATCATTTATTGGGGGGGGGGGGTGCGTTGGGTGCGTACGCACCCCCACCCCCAAAACGTAAAACGTCCCCTAATTATAACCAAAAAAAAAATGTGACCTTGGTCACATAATCATTATAAAATGAATAACATAACAGTACAGTATTAAGATTGTATGAATGTACAAATGAGTTACAATAAGAATACTAGAGCGCTGACTCCACACGCGCAATCTTTTGTACTGCAAGCAACATAACACAACAAACATACACACGTTATATGCACGTTATCGTCTAGGTGTATCTTCCCCTAACTACCAGCCACCCCGGTTTAGACAAGTAGGCCTAATCGTTTCTAGCGCTCTTAGAAATACCCTGAGACGAGCATGGGCGTCGATTGGTGGGGGACAGGGGGTTGCGTCCCCCCCCCCACTTTTCAAAGTAGGGGGACGCGTCCTCCCCCACTTTTCAAAGTAGGGGGACATCATATCGATTGTTCTCCCCCCCCCACTTTTCACCAATCTTCTATAATTAAAACCCCACTTTTAAAAGCGAATGGAAAATTTTGTCTGTTCACTTTTCTAAGTGTTACGTATTTTCCGGACCAAAACCGAGTAAAAACACAATTGTTTAAACATTTCGTAAGCATCTCAGAAACCCACTAGATCGATTTTATGGGTGCAACGATTATCAGAGGCTAAATTTATTGTGAAAACAATGTACTGAACGTTGTTAAAATTGGAAGCATGTATCCTTTTTAGGCCAATATTTTTACAAACTCAAAAGGGCACAATTTCTACTATGAACAATTTATTCCTTTTGTATATTATTATGACCAATACGTATAATACTAGTGTTTAATAATATCTTTGACATAGGATTACTGTTTTTCCTAATTTCAGCCATCAACACGGATATGTCTACCTATTTCGATTAAGTGATAAGCCTACCAAAAGTTTACAAACTCCAGTGTTACGTTGACGCAGTCTCGCAATGACGCCATAATAATCACTGGCAGATTCAAGTGGGGCCGAGCCGACCCTAATTTTTTCAAAATTATTTTTTTTTTAATGGAAAAAAAAACAAAGGAAAATTATAATTAGAATTTAGGTCTGAGAGTGCATTTCCGGTAATTTAAAGGTGTCATAATCATAAATTTCTTTCCTCAGCCCCAACCATGGTGGGGCTGAGGTGATCTACTTTCCCAACGTGCAAGTCCCTCCCTGTCCCCCCTCTAATTTGCTTTCTTGGAGCCGCCACTGATAATGATAGATTAAGTAAATCACCTTTATGTTTGTGAAATCAAAATGCTAACTAATGTTTTGTGTGCTCCTTATCTCCCTAGTCCTGTTTGATCGTAAATTAGACGGTATTATTTCCACTCACAATAATTATCGCAATATTACTTGCACAAAAGTGAAATTCAAAAAGAGGAGAAAATCAAACACCTCTTGATTGATGTTAAAAGCACTGTACATGCAAAAGTAATGACTTTTTTAAGTTTATCTTATTTGATTTTCATAGTTTGAATTTTGAATACGTTGCAAGCTAATCAGTAGATAATAAATCATTATTTTTATGAATGTTAGTTTGCACGAAATATATAAGCGGGCATAATTATGACTAAACAGGATAATATAAACAAATTTTTATGATGAGTATTTCAGTGGCAGATTCGAAGGGGCCCAGCCTGCCCACCATCACTATTTTTTTTTTCGAAATTTAAAAGAGGAGAAAAATTAAAATTATATTCAGATTCAGTCTGAGAGTGCCATTTCCGACCAACTGGAGGTGCCATAATCATAAATTTTCTTACCTCAGCCCCAACCATGGTGGGGCTGAGGTGTTAGTCCAGCTACACTCTCCATCTGTAAAAGTCCCTCTCTGGGCCCAGCTCTATTTCAAATTACTGGATCCGCCACTGGATATTTTGAAAATTTCGTATGGAAATAAATGTTAATTGCATTGCTTAAAAATCAATTAAAAGGCTATATGCGCCAGAGCTTCCGGGGCTTCGCCCCCTGGTCCCAAACCATTGCTTTAATTTCATTTTATTTACTTTATTTTTCATTTTGTCCCCCCGCCCCCACTTTCAGCCACGGATCGACGCCCTTGGAGACGAGTATACTCGACGCTGGAGCGCGCACGTGTTAAAAAATAGGGAGAAAGGAACAGGAAATTAAGAAGAATTTTTTTAGTAATTATCATTTTAACATAATCATAGAGAATAATCAGTGCATCTCTGGACGAATCGAGGTGGTGTAACATGATAAACAAGCGCCTTGTATTAGTTAATTGCATAAACAACTTAGGCAAGTACACCTTTTTTTTTATAAGAGGACCAATAAAATTTTGTCCAGGTTCAGCGTTCTTATATTTTTTGTGCCGATTTCAGGCTCAAAGTATTCATAGTTTGTTCTTATTTTAACACACTTTTTAAACATACAACATTATTATTCTACAGCAGTGCATTACTGTACTGTATTAGAGTACTGTACTGTAAGTGTACACCAACTGCAAATAATGTACTGGTAAGGTTTGTTGGTTTTTCTACTACTACTAAAAAATAAAAACCTCACTTGTGGCATTTTAACTTAGCCTTAATTTATTCTTATTTTGTTCTTAATTTTCCGCAATTTCGACAGCCTCATTCTTCTTATAAAATGTGCTCTTATAAAAAAAATGTAAGTGATTTTGCTATTAAAACGTACAACGTTACTCGTATCATGATGATCCTTTTATAAAGCTGGATACAGGCCTGTAATAGCATTTGTTGACAGGTCCCGACTAAATAATATAGGCTGACTTAAAAAAAAGCCTAGCCTACTTTTGTGTGCGTTTATATGGGGAATGCAGTCAATAGTGAAAGGGTAGTTAAATTGGGATTTTAAGTTCTCAAACGTAATTAAAACACCATTCACTTCAAAGTGATGGAGATAATAATGCGTATAAAATCCAAATCTTTTAAAACTGGAGTTCAAAATATGGGGTTTTAGGACTCACAGCAGATTCTCTATAAAGGAGATTCATCCCCTCGTCCCATGCTCAGAGTTATTATAAGCCTACAGTGCTTGTCATTCGTTAAAAATGTAAGCAATTTTGTTTATTTGCAATAAATGAAAAGGATGTGCCAGGCTGTAAAACATCCTCCGCGCAAAATGTTAGGCCAGAAATCCATTGCCGCAATTATACATAGGACTTGATAACTGCACATCAGCGGTTGTCAACAAAATAGTTCAGCCATGGTTACAGCATGCACTCAAAGATCGTACGCGGCAGATACCCTACGCGGTTTTATTTACACGATCTTTTGTTACTTTTTTCGCCAGTGACGTCACGATTAAATCGAATATAATGGCCTTTAACTTCATAAAAAATTGCCAAAAAAGAATTTCAAGTTTGATTGTACTATTAATGGCATATCAAAAATCCCCTCTAGAACAAAAAAAATCATTTTGCTAGTTCTCTTTAAAAAATTTTAAACACTGGTTCAAATTGCTCTTAAAAACTTAAAATTCAAAATTTAAAACTAAGCATTTTAAGATTTATAATCTTGATTGTATGACGTCTGTCTCTTATACACATCTAGATGTGTATAAGAGACAGACATAGGGTTACAAAGTAAAGGACAATTGTGTAATAAATGAATTAATGACTTTATATATAAAAATTATGGTAGTTATTTGTGTGGTCCTCTTGAATACCTTGTGTAGTACACAAAAACAATGAAAAACAACCGTATATTTGTAAGAAAGCTGGAAGTTTGTTAGGATTCTGGTGATATTTTTCATTTTTCAAAACAGAAAAGGGCTAATATAAGGGGGCATTTTACTTACATTTCCAAAAGTGAGTTAGCTTACCACCCTAAAATATGTTACTTCGGGTTTAAACAGTCAACAGCAGTTATTACATTCATGTTTTGTAAATTAAGAAAAATTCTTTAGGGTATTGAAGCTGCTGTTAAATTGTTCTTTAATTTTGGCGGCCATTTTAAAAAGCGCCCTCAATTGCCTCTTGAAATCTTCACATTAATAACTATAGCTAGTTATACTTTACTCCTATCATTACATATTCTGTGCTTATTTTACCCATATATATGTAGTTTATTGGATTTTGGCGGCCATTTTGAAAAAAGCGCCCTCACGCGAAAGTTCTCAGGTTACGCCTCTTTTAC